AAAGCGGAATTCCCCTTTAATGCAGGTCTGAGACCATTTGACATGTTGCTAATCAGTATTCCTTTATATTTCAGGTAAGAACAGTAAGATATTACATTATAGTACAAGAAAGTGACTAAGATCTAGTAAGTAATATTGTTCAAGAAATATTTCTGTATGTATAACTTATGTTTATACCTAAACCACATTTTTTATAGTGAATGCTGAAAACAAAATTCAGCTTGCGTAGTTGAAATGACTTTCATTCCCAACTCAAAATCAATTGCAAGAAATATAATAATAAAAACAATAATATTCGGCTAATTTGTTTTTTATTACAACCATTACCACATATCTTACATTTATATAACAATTAATACATGTAGATAAACCGTTATTAATTATATTACTTTCATAAACATATGTAGGTAATTTATCTTCCTCAAATTGATATAAACCAAACAATATTGTTAGTCAATTTCCTTTATACGTCAACAGAGTTCAGTTGTATTAACAAGATTGTAATATTCTTAGGTTTGTAAGTGAAGCGAGTTAAGAGTATGCTTGTTAACCTTACGAGAGCTAACTGAAAAAAAACTCTAAGCTGACTTTGAAGAGCTCATACCAGGTCGATGGTTTTCATAATATTTCTGTACATAGTCCCTTTTCTGTTTTACACAATTTGTTAGCAGTGCTGCAATGTCTGGATGCAGGTCAAGAAAGGATTTTTTGCAGCCATCCTAAAAAAAAGTCATTCACAGCGGAAATGATGTTATCATTAAATATATAAAAAATTTATTGTCACGGGGCGCCAGGAAACTGTCACGTTTAAGATCCGATATCAAGAGCTTTGGCATTTATCTTGCAGATGAGTAGGTTCTTAAAATGGTCTGGTACAATGACAGTTGTACTTCTTATGTCTATGATTCATTTAAAGTGAACTTGGTGGTAGTAAAATATATATATCCCCCTTCCCAATCCACCCCCAATTGGAAAGTTTAAGAGTAAGTTGAATACAGAAAAAGAATAACAATTAAATTGATATCAGACAAAACTGAAAAACAGCCGTCGAACATTTGCATATTATTTCAACTTATTGAACTTATGCAAATCTTGAATGCAAATCTTAATTTTGTTTGTGGTCTGGACATTCCAGCCTATTCTTAATCAAATTCCAGCAGCTCCAGTAGTAACAAATACACACGAGACCGGGATTCGAATTGGAACAAGTATAATTCATTATTTGGTCTAATTTCAAAAAAGGAAGGAGCAAAGTTGAAAGGGCCGAAGTAGGACAAAATGGGCAAGGGGCGAACTGGGAAAGGGGCTTGTTGGTAAGGGGCGATATGGCAAAAGGACAAGATGGGAAAGGGGTTAAACGGAGAAGATGCGAAAAGAGAGTAATTTAGATAAGGATGTAGGAAGACACCGGAAAAAGTTTGCTTCAATCCGAATGTGATCGCATACTTCGGCCTAGAACTCTTCCGCCAACACTCGTATTAATTCGAGAAAGAAAAGAAAAGAACACCGTTAACAAATTATTTTAATGTTATAGAGTTCTGAGATAAATTTATATACTCTAGTATGCCATCTGACGTTTGAGATCCGCCCAATGCTGTTGTTTATGTCAATCAGTAATATTATTACTGTTGTTCCCAAATGGTCTAATGTCAAGGAAACGATTGAGATGTAGAACACAAGATAAATTTATCATTATTATTATAGTGCTAGAATGATGTTGATATATATTTCTGGTATTGTCTTAACTAATTGTCTGACCTTTGAGAATAGAAGCGGTGAGGAAGGCGGTAAAGATGAAAGATTTATTATTGCTATCCTGTGACTAACCTTTGAAACATTGATGACAATTTTTTTAAGTATCGCAATGGGTGATAATGTACTTACTAACACTAATTACATTACTTTGTTGACTAGTACTAATGGGTGTATTTCGATACGACCATCGACTACTATATCCACCAAGTTATTGACGAGTTACTGAAGGATGTAGACAAAATTAACTACGAAAATGTCGTTTTTTGTTTCCACCGTGGAACAGAGTTTGCACTGTTTGTTTGTTCACTTATGACATGTAAATATATAAAAAATTCGCCGAAATCAAATTAAAGTGTGATCCTTTTACTAGTACCCGGATGTGCATAAATACTTTGCTCGACTGAGCAGAATGTGAAAAGAAATAATTAATACCATTTAAACTTTTAATATCTCAATCGATTTACGTGATGATATGGAAACCAATACATGTGAATGAGTACTGAGCCTTCAAGGAGGAAGCGATCGATGTTCAAGTTTTATATGTTTGGCTATAGAAAATAAAGAAAATATCCAGCAGCATCAAATTATATAATAAAATATTACAAAGAGAAGTTTATTTCCTTTCTCGTTTGATTCATGTTCAAAAAATGTTAACATTTGTTTTAACTGTCATATGTTGTTTCATTATTTTTAAAAAGAATTGGCAGAACATAATGGAACAGTCAAAAGAAATGAATAATTGAATATCAGTAATTCCGAGATTAGATATGTATAAATTGTTAAATTGTACTCAATCAATGTCAAGAATAAGGAAATTAAACAAAACTCGATAAACACTATGCCAGATTATGTTAAGTTAGAATGGTTAATATTTGTAATTCCATGCAATATAGCCAACGTTGAGCTGCATGCTCCACGATGTTATTCGTAGCTTGTGGAGGTAGATTGTAAATGCGCATTCAAATTGTCGTTAAAACTATAATCAACACCGCTAGTTTTATCGTCAAATTGTTTAGATAAATTTGAAAAAACACAATCCTTTACATTTTGCTTGTGAACTTTGAAACGTGTCCCTTTATTTAACTGATTATGAACGTTGAAAATTGAGTACATGGTCTTTATTTTCTTGAAATATCTTTAGAAACTTTGGACCTTTGGGTTTTGTGGTGTTTTAGATTGATCATCTTGTCAGCATATTGCATGTTAAATGAGAGTACGTTGTTCCATAGTGTCTTGTCAAAATAAATCTTGCCTATTTTGAAACTCATCTTGTAATTTGATTCTTATTCTTATTCGCAGTCATCTAACAAGTTCGATGATTTGGCTTCAGATATTGCCATGTAGCTGATTTATTCTGTAGACATATATAAGCATAATTTCTTACTATAGGACCGTATTAGACATAGCACAATTTCTCTTTTTCTGATCGTGTAAAAAGATTTTTCTTAGTTAATTTAGTATCGGGTGAATTATCCCATTTCTGTATGTCAACAATATTGTGTTAATACTCACTTGGAAAATTGTTTTCTCACTATGATTGCACGTTGCTCTTTAATATCGTTATTATTTTAATTCCACATGCGACGAGTTGATAAACAACGTAATAGAATAGTGATCTTGCAACGTAACATAATCAATAGCATGCGGGACGTTGAAATGGATCCTGATGTTGCAATGCTATGAAAAATCAACCGTATGGACGTGGAAAAAATAGATTTCTGCTTATAGATGGGTTGACGCCCGTCCCTGTGTGGTATTATGTCACTTTTGTGTTTTATTATGTGCATTTTGTTACCTAAAGACATCATTGCGGAGAACTAAACTATTATGGTGATAATGGTAATTATAAAGGTACTACAATTTATAAGAGTTTTTTAAGTGCGGAATCTCTTTCTCGTTTGTTTACGTATTCTGATAAATATTAAGTGCAATGTGCAAATTTTGACGTAACACGTGCGATTACCGGTTCTTTTAACGTAAAGTAAGATTAAAAACAGAATACTAAAAAAGAAAAACAATCAATGACGGCATCTAGTATTTATTTTTTCTTAATTTAGGATGGTGATTAAATGATAAATACTCTTTGGAGGCTTTTAATGAACAATGCCAATTCGACCGAGTTGTGGAGCGGAATTTGTTAGTTAATTTAGATAACAAATCATAACATATGTATAAATAGATAACGATGATGACGAATTATGAATTCAGTTCTGAATTTTAACACATAACGAGCACGAGAAAAAAAGAAAAATAAATAGGTTTATGAACTGTTTTTTTTAGTAAACCAAACGTTTAAGTTTTTCAACAGAATCTTACAGAAGGAGTATCTATCTTTCAAATGTTAACGGCGAAATTCAAGTGTGACGTGATATTGCAAATTATGGAATTGGTTATTCTTCTAATGAGAACTTTTCCATTTGTAATCGATTCATTTCCAATCAATTACTCTCTAGTGGGCTCATAAATGGAATCTGTCATCCGTTCGATCACGGTGTAATCAGTTTTTAATGTTCCAAATTTATATTGTTGTGGTCGAGAAAACTTACTGATAATTTGATATAACTAGTACTCACGAAGGAAACAGTTGGATTTAATTAAAAAATGAATCTGAGGAGCAACTTTTGTTGATGGAACCCCTTTTGATTGAAAAATAATGACTTAGATGGATGTTATAAACAGTTTCCTGTTAAATGATATTTAGCATCTTTGAAGCTCGTACTATAAATACTTGGAATGGGTGTGAAGACAGTTACAGAATAATGTTTCGTTTCATAATATTGTGTAGAAAAGTAATTGTCGTGCAGAAAAAATAATTTCAAAGTGAAATTTTTTCCTATAGACTTGTCTACTTGAGTATTTGATAATTATATTAGCGAATATACTTGGTAAACATGCTATCATAATATATTCAATGTAAGTAAATATATCAATTTTACATTGAACTTTAGCATTGCTTAGGAGTTTGGAGGATTTCATAAGTGCATTTAAATAAGGGATTACAAAAAAAAATTGAATTTTGAAGTGTGAAGGAAGCAGTGTTACTTTTGTAGAGACTCAAATGGTGTTCAGCAAATAAACGCAATGCTAATTAACACTTGGATGGTTTTCGGACTGAGAAATTTTGAGATTAAGTTTCGAAATTACTTATTCTTGTTCTCTTCTCAAAGTGTGGAAGCCTAGTTTTAAATTTTCATATGGGCCATATCAAATTCGTAACAGCTTAGGGAAAGGTTATGAAATTTTCCATGGTGAACATTTCCAGTGAAGTTGGCAATATCTCGGGGGAACTTGTGAACAATACAGCTACCGAAGAAGTACCTTTTTTCTTTATTAATCAAACTTCTCAAATTGTATTAATTCTATTATATACGGTCACTGTGATGTTGGCTATATGCGGGAATGTGCTGGTCGTTGTTGTCTTCACCAAGGGAAAAGGGTGTCGCACTGATATTCGACCATTCCTCATCAATCTTGCTGTTGCAGATTTGATCATGGCGGTGTTTTGTTTGCCTTTCACATTCTCAGCTACAATGTTAAGAACGTGGATATTCTCAAAACCGATGTGTCCAGTTGTTCTAGCTTTGCAGCATTTATCAGTATCTGCAAGTGTGTTCACGAACATGGCCATAGGCACAGACCGTTTTTTGGCAGTGACGTTTCCACTGCGGTCACGATTAGCAGCGTCCAGAGCTAAATTGTTTCTAGTGGCTATCTGGATATTTTCTATAGGCCTTGCTTCTGTGCAACTGTTTGTAAGCAGGGCCAATGATGTGTTTTTTGCGGATTATCATTTCATTGTCTGTGATGAAATATGGGAAACAGAAAACGCTCGGAGAACTTTCACATTGTTTGTACTTTTTATTACGTATATTATTCCGTTATGTATTTTATCTGTAACTTATAGTATTGTGGGAATATTGTTATGGCGACGGACATCTCCAGGAAATGCCGACCAGACTAGAGATACTAATCAACTACAATCCAAGAGAAAGGTAGGGATATAGTTCCATTTGTAAGAACTCAAAAATACGGAATTTTCCGACAAAGATTATTAATTTTATCTCATATTTGAAACAGTTATCAAATATAGTGGCCTTCTGAGTTATTTTTGATATTGGTCGTTTTCATTTTGTCGAACAGTTCTCTATTTAGATCTGGTATTTTGAATGGATTGTCCACGGCATCATAAGGAAATTTATGTAGGAGATTTATTAGCATTTGTCCTTAAGTAGGGTTATTCAATCAATATCAATCAGTACCATTGTTAAGTCGATTGGTCAGCCGGACTAGATTCGATTATAAACTTCATAAGGATTGAATTGGGAATTTAACTGCTTTTTGCGTATCTTGGAGATCTTAAACAAACTGCAAAAACTATACATTCCGAAGTTTGAATTTGACAGATCAATGGCCGCACCTCTGTGGGTTTTTGTGACTCCTGAGTTCGTTTTTCTCATGTTTACTCTACTCACAGTGAAAACCTGTAGAGACAACCTAGATGAGCAAGTGCACTAGGTACAGGGAAGCACTACTGAACTAGTCGAACTATTATCTGACAGATCTGATTTGTAACCACGTGTAATGTCATTGTAACTTAGTCCAGGACAGTTTATGTCGACACTATTCGTTAGAGGACTAGCAATAACATGTCTGAAGAATACCATCGGGAACACTTAAGACTCTCTTGATAGACCTAACAAGATTTTCTTGGGATAGAAATACGTGACGATGTTTCAGATATATTATCATCGTAGGAGTGGAATTTAATCCTAACCTGTAGGCCTATAATTTATTCTACTATACATCTTTACCTTTTCAACCTACCCGAGCCTTGGCTGAACGACATCGAATCCAGGTCGTTTTTTTTTGTTTACACCATTAAGAGATATCACCCGTTGTATTCTTTTATATCGTCAAAATTTATACATTATACAAGAACCATATAAATTGTGCACATTTTGTCAGCATTCCGCTGATGCTAATGAAGATGTTTCAGTTCAGTAGCTTAGTATTGTAAGACAGAAAGCTTCATATGTTTTCTTTCCAAAAACAACTAGGAAATGCCAATCCTAAAGCCTACAAGAGCTTCTTTAAAGAGTAATTAACCAGTTGTGCACCTGACATATCCCAGCTGTTGATAACGTAATTACATTTTAAGATATAATCTTGAATTCCCGAGAATTTGTATTTATTTAAGTGAACTAAAACTAAACATTATTTGCCCTGAATACTTAAAGGATGATAGTCTACAAATGTCAGTTGTCAAAAACTTTGGTTATATTTTTGTCTATGAAGAAAGCTACCTTAAGAACTAGTCAAATGAATATATCAATGATATTCCCTTTGGGGAAGAAATTATGGGGGTGAGAAGGAAATCTAATTTTTTGTTTCGTTTTTTTTATCCTAAGGACACACCAAAGGGGAACGTTTTAAAGGTCTTGCCCATGACATTGTGAAACCAACATGTTTCCATGTGAATTCCGCATCTGACAAAACTAGATCAGATGAAAATAGTCTTGTAGTAACTTATGGAAGAGAATATAGAAAAAATTTTAAATGATTTTATTTACGTATTCAATTGTCATGGCAATAAGCCAGATTTTTTCACGGTGGGTATGCGCATGCCATAAAAAAGTAAATTGGCCCCTACGAATACAGACAATTCTCCTGTTAAATCAGGAAAGAAATGAAGATGCGAATAGACGATGTACTGTATTATTGATACAGTTGAAAATAGAAATGAATCGTGTCTGTACCGTATCCGGACTCGTACCTCGTGTGTTCACTTCTGCTATTTTCGTCTGCATTGATCATTCCGCACCGTACACCACGCCGGAGACCGTACCTTGTCTTTTCGCGGCTTTATACGGCTGTGGTCGTGGTAATATCCTACGAATGGGTACAGATATACAATGCTTTTTTTCCAATTAATTTCAAGCTTCAATCAACTGTAGTAGCACCTACCAGAAATATGTACAACTTAATTTTCTCTTCGGTCGTGCTTTCGTAATTTCAATTACATATATTTTTACAGCCACTTTCATCTTAAATACAAAAGCATTGGTTAATTTCATGTCTCTCATATTATAAATAATGATTATATGGTATTTTATTAAAGACGATGGTCTAGACTCTTATTAGCAATATGTTTATAGTTCTAATTTATTCCCATCTTCATCTGTATACTGGATAATTACATTAGTTTACTTTATATTTTACCATTCATAGTGCAAGTAAAAACGTAGTGAAATCGGTGATCAACCTTTTTAGCACCTTATTGGGCAAATTACTAACTAAAGGTACTAACCTTTGACACATCATTAAGCAATTTCACTACATTTTCTTTCCTTTTTATATTTGACCGGGGGATGGGGTTGTACCCGTAGATATCGGATCTTCGGAACAGAAGAAATGAAACGAAAACATGATGGTTTTATAATTTCTTCATAAATATCACTTGATAGTCACAGACAAAGCCCCACGGGCTTGAAATGTAAGGACTATTTCATTAAAACATCAATGCTTTTTTTACAGGAACTTGCCGGATTACAGAAACAAGACTCCATAAATAGAGAGTAATTTAATAAAAGTTGCAGTCGAGCAACTTGTAATCAATGTGCTTTAGTATGTAAGTCGACATTATATGCCTTTTATCAGGTTTACCAAGATAAATTTAATATTAATCTTTTATAGCTTACAGTAGAAGCTGAATACTAAATTGCACTCGAACATCGTAAAAAAGTTCATGATTTTAGAAAATATTTTAAAATTTTTTCTTGGAAATTGTAGTTTTAATGATTTAAAATGAGTCACATCTATATATTATGCAATATAATTAGACAGTTTACACTTTTCGTACATAAGATCCGCGCAATTGTTAACGTGGGTTGTGTCGATGTTTGTGCTTTGTACACAAAGTAAGTGATATTTTTGCAGTGTTTATATTATTATAACTGGACTTAGAATTGTCAGATTAACCATAATTGAGAATTGCCCTCCGTTCAGCATGGCTTTGACTTTCTTCTTTTTAGTGTTTTGCACGAAATTCAAACTTTTAATAGTTAAACGAAACTTTTAAAAGACATGTATAGCGACAGAACTTCAACAATATGGCCGCCATTCTCAGTTTTTGGCTGATTGTTTAATGATAGGAACAATTTTGACTTCCCTACACGACATTAAGTTATATAAACGCGGAATAGACAAACCAGACACCGTTTATCAAACATTAACCCATTATTACCATCAACTTAATCTATTGGAAAATATTAAAATAGCTGCCATTTTTCTTTGATTATGCCGTGTAGTGGATTGGAAATGACTCTAAGCAATTTTCTGATGAAGTCTGCAGACCGGGCCATAAATCATCAAGATACTTAAATTCGATACCTAATCTTTATAAAACTGGCCTGTTAAATGTGTTATCGTGGCATATTGTGGGTTGAATCAGTCATATCTTTGGTTTTTACTCTTTGTCTTCTTTGCATATCTGCTAGTAAATTCCCCTGTGGGAACGAATTTGTAATGCTTATGAAATTACCTTTTCTGGGAAGCGAAGACTTATCTCTCTGAATCTGGAAGATTATAGATGAGTTTCCGCATTGGGAACGATAACCAACGATAATCCTTAAAATTGAATAAAGTGTGGTTGTGGGTTCTAATCTTAGTTGAGAGTCAAAAAGTGTGTGAATACGTCATTTTTACTCGTTATTCCATATGATCTAGCTGTAAATCAGAACGGATAATCGGGGAATGATTAAAACCAATGTCAATGACCAACTGGTATTATTAGTTTGTGTATATATGTATGTTCTTTATTACCTGAATAGCAGTTAAGAATACCAGGACACAAAACTCATTTTTGAAACAAAAATATTAAAATGAAAAATATATAGGCGTATATAAATGCCTTCTGAAAAAGAGACTCTTATTTATTATTAACAAGTAGTAAATGTCCGGGGAATATGGTAGAAAGATACTTTCTGCACATAAAAGATTCTTGAAAGAATCCTAACATGTTAAGAATACATCTACTCAATCTTTTATGTATATTGAAACCATTGAACTGAAACTATAAGTGAATTTGTTTTGAAAATGAATTGAAATTTGACAATATTATGAACCTAAATTGATGTAAGAACATAATTTACACTATAAAATGTTCGCATATTCCATGTTTTATGATGAAAATGTCATATTCGCCGTGTAAAAGTATGATGTATAACAACTTGAATTGAATATCAATAAAATACAATTTCTGCAAGTAGGAGATGGAAAATTTTATGGTAATTGTATTCTTTAAGCGATTGTCAAGTATTATTCATTATCGTCTTTTTTGGCTTGTTTGAATAGTAGTAGAGGATTATTACACTGTTCTTATCTAACAAAATCAGAATCCGATTTGCTATAGACATGTTGGAAGTTGACAATATTTTAATGAAGAGTTATTTCCTGTAATCAAATTCATTAGTGTGAGCACAAAGATAGTTCTGCTTGAGTGAGTAACATTATTAATTGAAGAATTTGGTCGATTTTGATGTCCGAGAGGTCATAACGCTCGATTAGATACAATTAAGACATCATTTCATTAACCCAGTAACTTACATGTTTAAAATGGATTGACAGGCAGTTGGTCGATATTACGAATACATTTTCATATCAGTCACTGATGAACCCCTCGCTACATTTGATAAAGCGAACATATTCTCTACCTGATGATGTTGGCCATTTTATCATGGGACATCGAATCCAATGATTCATTCCATTGGCCCAAGGGCATTAAAGGCTACTTCAAGAGATTGAAACAAACGCAAGTGATATATTTACTAATATTACACTACCTAATGTCAGAAGTTACTAGTCAGCATTATAATGGGTCATTTGAACCAATCCAAACTCAATCTGATAAACCTATTGACATACTTTATTAGTATCTTGCCTGATTGAAACAACTGCGTGACCATTTCAGGTTAGTTGTCTATGATAAATGCTA